TGAGATAAATATAAGCCGCGTTCACACGTAGCAAGAAATCCGGTATTTCTCAAGCACGGCAAATTATTCGGGGTCTGGGAAGCCTCGTATTTACATAAAATACCGGATCTGTTTAGATACCGTATTTCTTGGGCCTCGTATTTTGCCTCGTGTGAACGCTAAATACCGGATTTCTTGCTACGTGTGAACGCGGCTTATATTTTTGGCGCGAACGGGCATGCGCAAATCCGATATGAAATTGAGAAATTATTCGAAATGTTAATAGCCAAAACGCACAAACGGAGTTTACTGGATGCCCTAGAGATGCCGACGGAAGCAGTACCGTTTCGCTGAATTTCTGCAATTTTCCTAGAGAGCACGTCGCCAGCACTAGGTGCATGCGATTTTTTTTTTAAAGCTAGCGTCTCAGCCCGTCGCAGAGGCGCGGGAAGTGGTGCGGGTTGTAAAATCGTCGACAGGAGACCATTCAGTACACAATCTGGCTACGTTCGTGTGTTAGCGCATGTACAATATCTCACCAGAGAAGTTATATTTTGTGATGACTATGAATTTAATATGGTTAGGGGGTATCTCAGCATAGATTTATGTAATAAATTGTTTTCAGTAGACCTGTTTATTATTAGGACAGCGCCCTAGTCTGTAGTATGGTGGCTGAGATGGCTACGGATATTTTTATTCCAAATTCATTTTTATTTCAAATTCATTTTCATTTCAAATTCATTTTCATTCCAAATTCATTTTCATTTTCATTTTCATTTCAAATTCATTTTCATTTCAAATTCATTTTCATTTTCATTTTCATTTTCATTTTCATTTTCATTTTTATTTTCATTTTCATTTTCCTTTTCATTTATCTGGACCCTTTTTATAAATGCCAAGATCAGACATTCAAACTAGAAAGGTTACTAACTAACATATGAACGACTTGACAATAGAATATGACACCGGGACGCTAAACAGGTTTCAAACAGTATTCCGTACGCCAAGCTGCGGTACGCAGCTACGCGGCACGATACGTATTCGTATGCCTCGTAATGTCGTTATGAGCCCTTATGTCATTGACATTTATGTGCATCAAAATTTATGGAGTATTCAGAATGACACTCACGGATGGCCCACCTGCAAATTAGAGCAGTATTCCAGATGCCAGGGAGGAGCTTGGACCCGCCTCGTACCGTGCGTGTGTGCGTTGGGTGTATAGGCGGTGTGTTATACGTCGTGTGCGTTTTTGGTGGTGTGTGCTGTGCGTGATATACGTTGCGTGCGTGTATACCGTGCGAGTGTAAGATGTATGCGTGCGTGTTTACGCTGTCCGCAATATACGGTACATGCGTGCGTGTGAGTGAGCGGTGAGGCGTGCGTTCGCGTGTATAGCGTGCATGTAATACGTGCTGTTTTACGTGCAGATGTGGTGCGTGTAACTGCTGCGTGATGTTGCGTGTATACGTGCATGTATGACGTGCGGTGATGACGGTGGGCGTGTTATACGGTGCGTGTGTGCGTGTATGAGGCGGGTGCGGCATCGA